TGTTTTAGTGAAACACAGTAACTTTTCCACAGCTGCTAGAAACACAAGCCAATGCCCAGAAATGGGCACTTGCAGGACAATTTTTATGAAGCCACTGAACTTGGGTGCTCTCCTCTTCTTAATCCTCAAGCACACAGTGAGAGGGACCATCCTTTCTCACTTCCAGGTATTAATGTTACTTTAAAGGTAATCCAGCTGAAGAGAAGTGTGACTCAGCTGGTCCCCCAGTTGGAACGAACTGGACTACAGGACATCAAAATAGGAATGGACCATCTCAGACTTTGTAACCAGGACATGACAGAAATGTAGACCTCAGAAGCAGTGTGGGGCACACCACAGAGAGCTTCTTCCATTAGCTTATATTGAGATATTGTGGGTGAAACAGCTAATTTCTAAGTGCAATAAACTTACAAAACCAGCTATGCAGTTTGGGCAGTATCTCTGTCAATGGTTCATTATTTGAAGCAAACTGTGATTAAGATTCAGTGGGAAGAAAAGCAGTTGCTATCGCAGATGCCCTAACCATCAAAAACACCCAGTACTTTTTCCACTGGCGTGGCTGCTAGCATGGAAGAAAAAGTTCAAGAGCAGACCCCTGAGATACGTTGTACTGCCTTCTTCTAAGATTGACTTGACACCGCTTAATACAACCTCTACTCATTCTTCTCCATGAGCTAACAAGCCAATTAATTATGAAAGGCAACAGGTTTTGGCCTAAAGCCAAATTACAGTGGTGTCATTAGTCTTTGCTTTGAAGCAAAATCAAGAGTCCTACCTGGATTACATTCTCCGAACTCTTCAGTTCAAGGATACTATGCTGTAGAACTCCAAGAAGGTGCTGACACTTACACACACATCTTAAATAGAAGCCACAATTACAGCCATAATCATCTATATTCGTAAAGGATTTTTCACCTTTATGTGTTCAGAATCTCTTTGTAAAAAGTGTGAGCTCAAACAAATGCCTTTAGCCTGGAGGATGCTTATCCACCAGCAACTCTACTACCCCTAACCACAGCTTGTCCCTGCTCTCAGTACTGCACGCCTCTGAGTGCCTATACCTTAGATTTTGTGCAGATTATACCTACAGACTGCCCACAAATTTAATTTCAAGGAACAGTATTTTTAGAAAACAGCTGAAGGATGTAGATGTGACAAATATTTTGTTTCAGTGAAGATACTTTAAATTAGAATAATACTTATACTAAAAAGCAGATCTATTAGGTATACAATATATGTTTTAAAACTATACACATGCAGGAAAAAAAATCAGTAATTTCTGAAGCAGAGACAATTTCAAGTACAATGGTGTTCCCCTAATGATTTTGCCCAATTAGGCTGCACCTCTACCACAACACTTTAAGGTCTTCCTCCTGAGATATCTTCACTTTCCACCCCATTTCATCACTCAGCATTGCTGTGCTCACCCCTGGAGTCACTCGCTGAATTGCTGAGCAGGCTGGAGAAGCTGCCATGAGCCTCCCTATCCATCAATGCACCATGCATGGCCCAGTGACATGAGTGAGCAAGCAAAAGCAAGTCAAGCAAATTGCTTTATTCATATATTGTAAAGGCTTGGTCTGAATCTCATTCAGTATTATTTATTATGAAGTGCTATACTTTAAGCTAGCAGGATCAATGGCTCATTTTATCAGATTTCTGTATAATGTGAAACAATGGGAATTCACCCTGTGACTTCCGTGTTGCTGCTGTTGCTGTTGCTGCTTCTGATAAAATATTATACAAACATATTAAGGAAACCAATAGAAAACACCTGAGATGTCTATCTATGTTAGTTTTATTACTTCTGGGATCTCAAAAGGCTTAGGAAACATCACTGAACATTGTTTCATACGTACTTGTGAAAGGGTAACGTAATAAAACCAGGTCAAACAACACTGAATATTAAATTTAATGTAAAGTATGTAAAAAAAAGAAATACTGGAGATGTTGGATGAATTATTAATACAGAAGGAACTGTACTTGTGATTGTGGGGTGTTTGGTGAGGATTTTCTGGGGTAGTTTGCTGGTTTTTTAACTGGCACACAAACTCATTTTACATCCAAAGAAAGATGCAATTAATTTTCTTCATTTTTTTTCTGACTAAATTTGGAGCAGCTGAGAGGTTGGTTATTTCTATCTTTAAAAATGGACTTATTATGTTGCCATCTGTTGGCACATGACAGATATAGCATCCCCCAATTCCAGACAGACTCACAAAGATGCAGAAATTTAAAGAGACAGATGTGAGAAATACATGCTCTCATTTGTTTCCAGTGTTCACATCTGTTCTCCTCCAAGATTTTTCATTCATATAAATCTGTCCTCAGAAGCTAGTACCTTGAAATGTTATGGCATTTCTGGTAATCATAAAAATCATATTCTAGTAGAGTTTACTGCATTCCAAAACATCACTGGATTCATAAAAATCTGGTCTCCGTCAACAGGACACAAAGTACATAGCAACGTTACTTGTTTGCTTAACTTCCCTCTCCTTCACAAATCATGAGCAAAAGGGTAGGTGACTCGTGCAACTGTAACAGCACTGCAAGAACACAGTTTCAACAGGTATCTGCAATAATATATGTTTGCACAACACCTACAAAGCAAATTGACATCTCTTTCTAATGGTCACTGTACATTGTTGCCCTGTCCCTGTGGGGGTCACAGAGAGCATGATCCTTCTCCTGCTGGTGTAAGTGACATTTCCTGTCACTGAAATTGTTGCCTACCAATGCAAGCACCTGTTTTCATTTCCAACATTACTCATTTCTTTGTACAGTGCTTTTGACAGGCTGTCTGCTAATGCTTCCATCAACTATCAAGATTTTTCCCTCTCCATGCTTCCCTGTCCCAACCCCTCTACTCACACGGCACCAGCCCCCTGCAGTCCCTTCACCAGCTTGGATAGTATAAGACCTCAGGAGATGAAAAAAACCCACAAAAACAGTCACACGGTCTATTGCTCTTTGTTCTACTACCTTAATTTTCTACACCTGTTACCCATTTTCCTTTGAATTTGAACTTTCCTTATCATTTTCATCCAACTAGGATGAGGAAGTATATAACCTACTCCCTTTATTCTGTTCATGGGAGTAGGGACTAAAGGGTACTTGTGAGACACATACATACGCTTCCACAGGCAAACCTGTACCTCCTTTTTTATTTGTGGATAGGTTTTAATGGTGAATAGAGAAATGATGCTTAAATTCTTATTTTGTCTTGGATACTGTGAACCCTTTTTCACCTTTAATACAATACACCTCCTTCTCTGTAATACACTACATAAAATCTTCCTCAAAATGGCAGAGCCATAAAAAATTAAAAGGTATACTACAAAGCAAACAATATTGGAGCTACGTAAGCATGCTTATTATTCACATGAACAGTTTTTGGTATTTACAGAAAGCATTGACTGTTGCAGTTCACCGGTCCCATGAGCAGTATGTTAAATCATTAAAGTGTGAGCAGTCTTTATTTGTATTGCAATAATATTCTGTATCTCCATCCCAGAACCCCAGTGCACTCAGCGCTTACAAACAACCACCAAGTCACGGTGTGCATCTGAGAATTAATTTTTTCCTTTAAGAACTAATTTAATCTTTGACAACTCCTCATTTTTCTACATATTTTCAATTATTTTGAAGCATAAAATGACCTGCAGGCTACAAAATGGAAGACAGAATTCCCCCATGCGGTTCTTACACGAAACATTGAAATAAGTAGAAAATCTTAACTATTGCATATTCCAGAAAGGCCACTAACCTATATAGCTTTCACAAATCATAAGCAACTACATGCTTGGCTTCAGTTGATAAGAGATAGTTGACAGAAGTAACAATAACCTTCTTAAGTTTCAGATGCCAGTGAGCAGTAGGACCAGTTACTCAATATCCCTTCTGTGGGTTGCCCTCAGCTTAAATCTTGTGGCCACATCAGAGGGCCATGTTTAGTATTGCCATGAGAAGCCAACCCAGGGAATAAAGAAAATATGGCAAAATTAAATAAAATTAAAGCTGTCATGTCTAATATGGAGCTCTCAGAAGCATTTTGTCTCATATTTAATTACACTTAAAAGTAAATTAGATTTATATACTTAACACAATTCAGTCCGAAAATGGGGTTAGGCTAGGATTTATTAGGAGAAATGTGCACTTGCACATTGTTGATCTACAGTTAGCAATGTCTTTTTTCTTGTTCTCTTCCATACTGATAACTCTCTGCAAGACATCCCACTTGAGTCAATTATTTATACAACTACTTGTCACTAAAATTCCTTCTCTGAATAAGTTTTTTTTTTTCAAATTAACTCTAGAGCTCTCAGGAATAACTACACAAGCTAACTTCCTTCACTGAAAATGCTAGCTGTAGTAGAGATTCATATCACCTAAATTTAGTCACCTGACCAAAATCCTACACTGGAAAGTCTAGATGCAGAGGCTAGAGACTAGTAGTTTTAAACTTTTTTACATGGCTAAACCTAAAGAGCCTCTGGGATTTGTTTCCATGTTCTCAAGACCCTAGTCATGACTGGAGACAACCTGCCTCTTTCCCTGCAGCAGCTGGGAAGCCAGCTCCTGACCAGGTGTGGTGAAGCTGAGCTGTTGACTTCAAGAGCTTTTGAGAAACACTTAGTGCACTTACAAACCAAGGTGTTACATAAAAAAAGAATCACCATGATATCAGGCTTCAGCTGCAGTAAAAAGAAGAGCAGAAACAACAACCAAATTTGTGAGTCACCCTATTCTGTCAGTCTTGCATCTCATCCATTAGGCTAGGTATATCAGCAGAGAAATGGTCAATATCCTGAATCCCAAAAAGGCTCAAGTACAAATAAGGTAGTGGGGTACTTGGCACTTGCAAAATGAAAATGGTTCTAGCCTTGCATTTTTATAATTTTTAATTAACATACAAAATCAGTAAACTTGTAGAGTGCAGGTATATTTGGGTTTAGACAGCATTTGAGCAGGGAGTTTCAGTGTGAGACCGAAACACTTACCTTCTGTCATCTGTGTGCTGAAGGGCATGACTCATCAGCAGAGTACACTGTGGAAACAGGCATCCCCCTCCAGCTCTGACCTGAGTGGGAGGAGGCTCTGGAGTCAGAACTGCAGATGGAAGCAAGACCCATATCCACTCACGCAAACAAGGGGTTAACAGCTCATTATATACCCCTCCAATAAAGCCACTTCTGATAAATGCAGAGCGATGCATCCTTAGAAATTAAAAGTTACCAAAACAAATCGATTTCAAATCCTGCATCATGATGCAAACAGCTTTTTTAAAAAACAAATTTACAAATCAGAAAATGTTCACCTGACAATTTGTAAAAGGAAAAACACTTGAAGATGCTCAATGATCCTGTGTCACTAGGGAAGGGCCTTGATGTGAAAAGTACTTCTGTTTATTGCATTAGCATCCATTTTCATTAATACCCAAGATGGTATCATTTCACACATTAGAAAGCAATTGCCAAAAACACGCTTTCAAAAACGTATCAATTGATCAGAAAGTGCTGATGAGATGAATCAACTTATGCAGACCAAGGAGAAATATGTTCATAATCCCCTCGTAGCTGGAAGAGACGGAGTGCACAGCAGCTTGAAACAGCCGTAGCAAAGCCCTTGGGTTTTTTATGGTAACGCTTAACACTCCTACACCACTGCCATCTGCTGGCAAATAGGAGAGTACAGGTTTCAGTCTAAATTAAACTAAGAAAAAAAAAATTAGTAGTGCTTTTAACCATGGAGTGCTAAGGCTGCAAGTAATGCATTTGCAAGGTCCGGGGCTGCAGCAAGGCACTTGTCTTCAACTTGCCACTGGAGACACCACAAGCTTGGAAAGCACATCACCTTATGCCAGCAGCATTGGTAGCAGTAATTAATATTACTGCTCCCTTTTTGAAAGTATTCTCTTTCCTACGAGAAAAATCAAGTCTTAAATGTTTCTTTATTAAAGACAATGAGAAAGCATCCATTGACTATGGTGGGAGCTACAGAAGACATTTAAAAAGCACTGTTGGATAATAGTTTTTAAAATGGTCAATCTATGCAATCAAAACAGGAAACAAAAAGAAAGTGCAATGCAAAGTCAATACGCCATAACATTTTCTTCCTTTTGCTAGTCAGTTTAGGTTTTGCATGAAATCCAGAGGAGTCTTTGGTGACAGGCACAGCAACACATGACACAGACCTCAACAAACCTTCCTGCTAGCTTTTTGAGTGACAAAGTTGCTACATAATTTTCACAAAAAAATTTACAGTGCAGTTTCTTTTTTTATTTTCCCTGGCCAAAGGGTGGATCAGTTGATCAATACAAATTGGAACACCAGCACTGAGCTGTCCTGTGCATTAGTTTGCGATTAACTGATTAGAAGGAAAAACATTCAATTCTGAAAACTCAGGTATCAGCCCCCAAAACTGAGCATCTTTCACAGCTCTAGAAGTGGTTACATTTTTTCAATTAAAAATTAAACTTTGTAGATAGAATAAATTAATAATAGCAGTAACAGCAAACAATTTGCTGCCAACTTGGTAATGTTCTTTTAGAAAAGAACATGGAGTCTGTGATTTTACGAGTCTTCAGAATTTTTCCATAGAACAAGATCATGCCTTAGGAAATTAAAAAAAAAAAAAATCTTTGTTCTGTAATCATCACTCTGTAAACCATAACTCTATAAACTTTAATCTATAAATTGATACATCTACATTATTCATGTTATGACAAGATCTAGCACACTTGGTCATGGAGCATGACTCCTTTCAGCAATAAGACTATATAAGAACCTATAAGGTTTCTAAGATAACAGAAGAAGAAATACAATGAAGTTCACAAATAGAGGATTTCATCCATCAGCTGGCCAGGGAATCATCCTGGCAGCAACGACAAGAAGTTTCTCTGAGCTGCCTATGTGACTCACATCACAGAATGCAGCAAGTTGCCCTCATGCCTTGCCATGGACAGTAGGCACTACTTATGAATGACTCCTTTAAAACAGGCAGCTGTATAAAAGCCAGCTGAACCTCACCTCATGGTGAGGGAAGTACAAAGAGTTGAGCTGCTTCTGGTCAGCGTCAGCCTTTTTGGTCACATCATTTAATAATCCTTTATAAATGCAGAGAGAAGATGAAGATTTTGAAGGAGACTACTGAGATAAGATGGTAGCATAGAAAGAGAATGATGGTATTTGTATGAAAATCAAAAGATAGAAAGAAATTAGCATCTTCAATTACTTCAGAGGAAGAAGTTGGCATAGTCAAAGTGGAAATGGTGGGTAGGCTGGGAAGGAACTGTGAAATGAAGTTTTTGTGCAATGTGCTGAAGAAGTGATAAAGTCTAAGCAATGGCTTGAGGGGAAAAAAGAATCTTGACAAAGTTGAAAACTTTGTCCGGCACATTTGAATAGGGTAAGGCTGTAATTCCTGTGCCAAGTTAGATTATAAAATAACTGACACAGAAAATTAGGAAAAAATATTACCCGTGCAATTGGATTGGAAATACCAGAAAAAGCTGCAACAATTGGCTGTAACACGCAAGAGAGGCAAAGACAATACCCCAAAATAGACTGCCTTTTATAATAAAGTACAGTTTGTTTTCTTTTTATATATTATACATATCCTTTTATATACATGTATGTGTGCATTACGAAATAAAACTTTTGTATTTATATAAATACACAGGCTATAAATGTAGACCATTTGGGGACTTCAGTTAGTGACTGGCCATTCATGAAAAGATATCACAAGAATGGAATGGGGGGCCAAGGATGGGGGTGAGAAAAATGTAGTTTGACACAGAGAGTAAGTTTGCAAGTATAGAAATAATACCAATCTCAAAAAAAATACAACTCAACAACAAAAAAATTACAAACCAAACCAAACAAACAAAAAAAAGGAGAACAGAGGAATCAAAGCTGAAATCAGTCTGGATTTCCAAATACATGTAGTCAAGGTCAGTATTATCACTGTTAAGAACTAGAAATTATCAGGAGCTCGTGAGAATCACTTATGGGGAGCACAAGGGAAAGAAGTAGGATAGGAAATGGCCTAGCACAAAATTGGAACATAACATAACAATGGATAGGACTTCCAGTGATCCTGGAGAAGCAAAAGAGAGGAGGGAAGGGGAAAACCCAGGAGCCGAAAACAACACTGAGAGATGAACAGTTGGAGAATGAGCAAGGGAAACAAAGCATGAAGTCAGTACAGAGTGGGTATATGATGCTAAATTAAATCTGAAGTATTAATTCACATTCAAGTCAGAGGAAAGCATATCTATGGTTTAGTTTTTTGACCTATGATCTAGGCAGTCTCAAGAGATGAAGCCTTCTCTCTGCCTAGGAATTCAGCCTCCAAGATAAAATATTAAATTATGTGTGATATGGAACATAACTAGATAAATGGAGCATCATAGAGAAGTAAACAAGCAATATGGCGTTGAGCACAGATCTTGCAAATGAGACGAAAAATATCAGCATTTTCATTCAGTTTGGATTTGGAATCTATCCTGAATTTGAATTAGGGGTGAACATCAAACGTGAGTGTAGTTAATTATTTAAAGATATGCTTTGGGGGAAAGCCTTGTTTTTCTGCTTTTTTTGTGGCTAACTTTTAATCTTTAAATTTTCTTTTTTATTACACTTTGTTGAATAATATTTTAAGCAGTGCATCCTGTGAAGTTCCCATGAGCTCTAATTTGAATGTGGTAAATAACATGAGTTACAACTCACAAATAGTCTTCCATATTCCAAATATTATAAACTTGAAAGTGCTGGAATACTTTTCCTCCCCCTCCTTTGTGGAGTTTCTTTTTCTTCTTATAACTTTGGGGGACTTCTTTGGTTGTAATGGAAAATACTGTATCTCACTTGTTGTCCACTCAAGCCCCTAAGCTCTATACTTAATAGAAGAACAAGTACAAAACTACATCCTGTATTTTGAAAGTGTAATAAACACTACAAAGGCTTGTCTAGATTAAGTATACTTTTCTCCAATTCCTTATCAGTATCAGAACAAGTATGGACTATTGGTTTATTATCTAACTTTTCATTCAGAGGGATTAGCTCATTCCTCAAACTGTGTGTTGCCATTCCCATTTAAGAAGCAGGCCTAAGACAGTGAAGAAATAATGCCATGGCAAATCTAATGTACAAACTGCATCTCACAACATTTCAGCTTCTACTCTGTCCATTGGAGTACATAACCCAATATTTAATGCAATGCAATTCACTGCATCTCTTCTATCCCACTTTTCAAGAAGTTCTGTTTTACTATTCTAGCAAAAGGTCCTTGGATCAAGTATTTAGAAAGCAGCCATCCTGACTGAATATGATCCATATCCTTTTTCAAGTAATTATTATGAGATATCTACTGCAACAAGTATAACAGCAATAAGTAACATCAGATGCGTGATAAACTCTTCAATAATAACTGGTTTATAATTATTATTTGTAATTAATCAGAGAAAGAAAAAGAATTTCTGAAGGCAAAAAGTATCCTATTGTGCTTGGCCAATGGAAAACCTTCTAACTTAGACGAGAACTTCATCACTACATGTGGTTTTATACCTACAAATGGTAGTAAAATTACCCCACTACAAAAAACCTCAAAATTCTTTGAAGACAGAATGAATCAAATTACTACAAAGTTGGTTGCAAGCAAATATTTCAATGCTGAACTAACAGCACACTCTGGGAGAAGTAAAGAGATTCTAACTTCATGCAACTGTAACTGAGGTAAAATTCAGCCTCCTTTAATAACATTAAAGTTGAAGGATATAAAAGATTACATGGCCTGAGCAATAACCTCTGAAAAATTTAGTTGCAGGCATCAGCAACCTTTGATATCACTGGCACAGAGGAGATCTCAGCCTTTCTGAGAAGCAGCACAGGTCTTCAGGCATCAGTGAAGTATTCTATTTCAGGCATGAAGATCTATCTCCAAGGGCTAACAGCCAGCTGCAGCTCAATATCCACAATCAGCAATCACAGCTTACACACCACAGACTACTTCCATAAGGGACTGTACTCTGGAGTGGACTCATACTTCTATGCATAACACCAAACAACATTATTCTGAATACAGCCACAAGTTGGTTTGCTTGGGTACTTGTTTGGTTGCCTTGTCTTTTTAGCGCCTTACTAATAAACAGTTAAGTTGTCAGAGTTCACAGAGTGACTTCAACCTCATGATCTCATGAGTGTACATCTGCCCACAGGAATAAAAGTGCCAAGAAGATGAGCTGTTTATCTCTGGGCCCCAGTGGCAGAGTACAGCTATGAAGGTCAGACATTACATTTGCAGGAAGTGACAGAGTTTCAGCATTAACTTCATAATTTTAGCAGCTGTAAATGAGAACTATCTAAACATGTGAATGGCAATAAGGAAGGACAACTACATATGGGAAGACGAAGGTCGTTGTAGTGTATAATACTGTGCTGTCATGACAGCTGGAACTTAAGAAGGTCAACTTGTCTCCAAAAAAAAAAAAATCTTAACAAAGTAATTGAAATGGACAGATGTGTCAGAGTGCCCCAGCTTCCATTTGATGCTGTGTCTAG